GCCTAACCTTTTCAAGGTTATCTCTCATTTGGCCAATCTATCTGGTACTCACTCTAGTCGAGCTTAATAGGTCGACTACCACACGTTTTTGAAGTATTATCTTCCAATCACTTAAGATGATCTATTCTTCTCGGTCACGTGGCATGTGGGTCGTACTTTTTCCCCAATAGTTTTAAATGAAATTATATATTTTTTTAAATTTAATATTATTAAATAAAATTTTTATAAAACCATCCCTTCACAAAATAATTTCAAGTGTTTTTTTTTCTTGAGTACAACATGTGGGGTAGAGATCTAACTCACAACCTCTTGATTGAAGAACGACAATCACCACTCAACCATGCTTATTTTACACAAATTCAAATATCCTATGAGTTATAATATTATAAATGATCATATAAAATGAAATTTGAAATTACTTTTTTCTATTCTTTCATGATAGAATATAAAATGAAAGAATGAAAGTGGAAGGATTGCAAAAAGACCCTTTGCAACTATTGGAAATGTCGAATCCCCTTTGGGTTTATTGAAAGGTTAAGTTAGGGATTTGGATTTATATCCCCTTTGTTCTCTTGTGTGGTGAAAGGTCAAATAATATATTCCTTTCCATTTATGTCTTCGAGATTTCTTTTAAAAATTATAATAAGTTACATTTATGGAATATCACTCAATTCATTATTGTTATATATTATGACTAAAAATTTTAAGCTTCAAATTCTATCTTCAAAAAGAAAAAATTTCAGTTGATTTAAAAAACAACATTAATTTACATTTTAAAGTTCATCACTCAATTCATCAAATAAGTTTTCATCAACTCATGAAAACTTACTTCGCGTTTTAGTCTTGTCACGTAGTTCGGTTCGATTAATTACTTGACTCGTTTCTTTGGTTTCATTTGAGATGAACTCGTTACATTTCAAACCAATTTAAAATTTTAAGTTAAAATTGAGCTATGATTAAAAAAAAGAAAAGTTTATCCTCAATTATTGACTGAAAATGACAAAAAGAAAAAGAGTGACATATATAGCTAATTTTATGATAATACCACTCCCCACCATCCCCACTCTTCACATTCTCATATCTATAAACTTTTCTTTGTCTCTTGTAAATGTATTTATTCATGAGGTACATATTAAGCCTTTCAATTCCAATATGGTGACATAAGAAAATTTTGTATTTATCATTTAAATTTTCATTAAATAAGTTCACTATGCTTTTTATTTTTATCAATGGGACAGTGGTCCATAGCTAACAACTTGGTATTAAGAAAATCACGAGAAGAAATATAAGATTTATTATATAGTTTATGCATGCTTTATACATTTAATCACTTTCTATAATTATATGTTTGGGAGAGCGGATGCAAATCAAATATATCAATGAATTTAAGCAACAAAATCTTGATCATTAAACGTAGTCACGCTACTCTTAGCTCTCAATCTATTTGACATGGTAGCTCGTAGTTGAACTAATTACTAATTAAGTGCTAGTTAAACTACTTACATCTGCTCGACATAGTTCAACTCAAGTTAGATAAAGCAAATTCTTGCTCGATATACCCAAATTGAGATCTCTTTTTGCTTAGCACTTGACACTTCTATTCCCTATTGGCATAATATAAGCTCGACTTTATCATATAAGATCTTCCCTATTATCTATGACATCTAATCTAAAGTGTTATCATTAGTCCATCAAAAATTTTTTTTTTCTCATCTCAATTATTTCATCATCCTTATCATCACATCACGTAACTTGATCATCATTGTTTCGACAAACACCATATTAGTGCTAGTTAAATACTAGACAATCATTTCTGACAAGTAGTGTGGAAGGTTGACAAAAGTTTCGATTTTGCAAAAACTTAATTATAATATGAGAGTTAGGTTCTTTATTTAATTTTTCGTTTAGTTCAACAATGGTGTAGGGTAGGAGATTGTACCATAGACTTTTGAAAATGATATTATATAATTTATCCAGTAAACAATAAGTAGTTAATAAAATTAACAAATCTGTAGCTTAGGATAAATAAACTTACAATTAAGGTAGACTTAATTAATTCTAATTTAATTATACAACTCAAGTTATGAACCAAATTGTTGGGATTGGTGGAGCTAAACCATAGTCGAGGCAAAAAGAATAGGAAGAAGAGAAGAGTGGAGAAATGAAGTATTGCTGCAGGATGATCTGAGGGGGCAGCGTTGAGTCGCTGTAGAGATCGTCTCAACGCTGCAAACATTAGATGGAATTAAAGGAGGCATGTGCAGACTGTTCTAATCACGCTACATATCTCGTAGCATTGAGACGCCTCAACACCACAACGGTATATATATATATTCCATATTGGTTTAGTTTTAGGTCAGTTATGAATTTAAAATCAGATGGTGCAGCCAATTTTTTAGAGTATTATTGTGGCATTTGAGACAACGACTCAAGGGTGTTGGTAGCAGAGGGGCAGATCGAGATCACTGTATTTTGGGTAATTAGTTCTTGATTTGATTGTGAGTTCTTTCATTCCCGTACTTAAGTGTAGTGTTGAATACTTAGAAGTTAGGAGGCTTTTGTTGCGAAAATCAAGAGAGTGAATATCGGAGGATATTTTGAGAGCGCTTGTATCCAATTCATTACTAGTGGAATTCGCATCTGAACGGAAAACTAGAACGTCATTAGAGTGAACCCGTATAAATCTATTGTGTCATTTATTGCTTTCTCTGTATTTATTTTTGTGTCGTATGATTGATTTAGATGACTAATATTAATTGTGGAAGGGGACATTTTCTGTGGCGAACTAATTTCCAAACACAAATAACATGATTTCTTGTTTGCAAAAGATGTCCTATCCTACGATGTGTTCAATATAATTCAAATTTATTTAATTATGTTAAATTATTGGTAATTATATAAAAAAAGGGTTCATGTAGTGGTTATTATATTTATTAATCTCCTAATCATTTGTCCACAGGTATACCGTTGAAGCACACTTAATTGTTAATTAATAAATTTATTAAGAAAAAAAGTTAATTAATAATCAATTCTATAATAAATTGTTAGTGGCGCCGTGGCGCCAATCCTTCAAAAGTAGTATCTGACGTACAAAAAGGACAAAAACCAAAACATGCCATAATCGTCATAGTTTACCTTATTTTTGCTTTATTTTTTGAACTTATTTTATAAAAGCAATGCATTTTTGCAAGTATAATATTAAAATAGAGCAAATTACACTTTTGGGTCTTTCATTCTTTGACCAATTATTGACAAGCTTTAAGATGATTGGCATTTGAACAAATTATCATACTCCCTTTCGTTTAACGATAAATAGAAGGAATGAACGGTTAGGTTTGTAAGGTGATTGCAAACAAAATCTCACATTTACTAGGGAAAAAATAATCATGGATATATAAGAGAGGACAATTATTTGGTGTGAGGCTTTTTGGGTGAAACCAAAAGCAAAGCCGTGAGAGCTTGGAGTACCTTGGGTACCGTTGTAGCATACCTTTAGGGTTAGGATTTACCTTACTCTCTTATTTATAGAGGTCGTGGGCCTCATGCTGGGTTTGTTCGTTTCATTGTGGGCTTAAGGTCGAATCGAGAGTTGAGGTGGGATGGTTCGGGATGAACCCTTAGGGCTCGGGTTGCCAGGTGTCGATCCCCTTTCCTGATTTGTGCCCGCTTCTTTGCTTTCTTTTAGTCTCCTGTCGCCTAGCTGGATCTCGCTTATTTCCCTATAACAGAATACAAAGTTATAATTTTCTAAAATTTAGAAATTAAACCCACTGCACAAAAAAAAAGTTAAAGTTAGATTTATAATTTAATCTAACTTTAAATAAAATTATTTTAAAATGTAACAAATGAAAATTTTTAAAGGGTTAAAAATATAGTTAAAAGTTAGATTTATAATTTAATATATCTTTAAATAAAATTATTTTAAAATGTAACAAATGAAAATTTTTAAAGGGTTAAAAATATAATTTAGTGTTTAATGTTTAGTTTAGTTTATTTATTTTTTATCAATTTAGTCCATAATCTTCTAAAAATTTCAACCTCATCTTTTATGCATTGAGTTTTTCCGATTAAACGACAAAATGATGATGTAATAACGAAATATTATATTAATTGTGTTGAGATATACTATATATTTTAAATGGGTGAAATAGAAATGTCATTCATCCCAAAAAGAAAGTTATTTACTTTACGGGACTAAAATTGCTTATCATACAAAATCGATCCATTAAAATATTAATATACTAATAATATACAACCTCAAAAACTAATATTTTAAAATTTATATATCATCATTTTTTTAATAGTTACTAATAGCAAGGACTTAATTAAAAAAAAAACTATAAAAAAAGTTCAATATGATGGATTAAAGGCCAGTTATAAGTTTCCCTCTATCTAAATTTTATACTTTTAGGAAGCTTTTAAAATTTTAATTATCGATTAACTCCATTAGATGAACACTTGTGGAGGATGATTATATTGTTTAAAACTTACTTATAAATTGATTTCAGATCCGTTATAAAGTTAAAAATTCGAAGGGCTATTATAAATTTTAAACTAAATAAACATAATCATAAAAGTTTAGGAGTGAATAGGTTTAAATATATTATGGTGCATGTACGACTTTGGTTCATGTAATTTTAACTTTTATTTTTTTTAGTATATATACTTTCAAAAGTCTACGATAGTCTTTGAACTTATTATTTTGGTCCACATTTATGAATTTTAATACAAATTTTACCTAACGAAAATTTTTAATACAAATTTATGGCTACATTTTAAGAAATTTCGTAAGTGAGGCGTCGTGCTACTCAAGCACCGAAACCAAAATGAAGTATAACGGACGGGAAAAAATAGTATTTAGACCAAAATTATATATTTCACAAAATTGTGAATTTAAAAGAATACCCCTAAGTGGGCCAAACGGCAGGGGCCCATCAGAAGGGGCACGCGGCACAACAATAGAAACCCTAATATTCAAACACTGAATGCAATGATCTTCTCCAATTTCTTCTTCTTGTTTGCTGCACTGTTACCACTGTCCTGTCGTAGCCGGATTCGAACACACCAATTTCTCACTCTAAGAATCGGAGCCATTGATTTTCCACTCCCAGCAACTTCCAATCGAATCTCCCAGCCTCTGCTTCTCGTATATCCTTCTCCTTCTCACTCCTTTTGCTTTTCCTTTTGCTTTTGCTTCTGTTTTTGTTTTCGTTTCTCTTTCTCTGACGGCCTGTATCTCTGTAATAGCATTTCCATTGTACGATCGGGGTGGAGCTGAGAAATGGGTTACTGTTTGATTCCCTCTCAATCCCTCTCCGCGAGGTCCATTTTGTGCCGCTCGTCTTCTGTTCGTGGCTCTTCTAGTTCGTTCTTGTCGAATCTCAGCCATGCACGGTGTTTTTCTTACTCCGGCAAGGTGGGGTTGAGTTTGCTCAAGATACAGCCATGGCAGGGCCGGGTTTCTCCGTTCCGGAAGCTGCACGAGCGAGCCGGGTTGGTTCGCTGCGAGAAAAATGATGAGAGGACTAGCGAGGGGAGTAAGGGAGGAGGGAAAGTTGGGAAGAGAACCGATTTGAAGAAGATTATGATTCTTGGTGCAGGGCCCATTGTGATAGGGCAGGCGTGTGAGTTTGATTATTCTGGTACTCAAGCTTGCAAGGCGCTCAAAGAAGAGGGATATGAGGTGGTTTTGATTAATTCGAATCCGGCGACGATCATGACGGACCCGGAATTGGCTGATAAAACCTATGTAACTCCGATGACGCCGGAGCTCGTCGAGAAAGTACTCGAGATGGAGCGTCCCGATGCTCTGTTGCCCACCATGGGCGGGCAGACTGCGTTAAATCTGGCTGTTGCCTTGGCCGAGAGCGGCGCGCTTGAGAAATATGGGATTGAGTTGATTGGAGCGAAGCTTGAGGCAATTAAGAAAGCAGAAGATAGGGAATTGTTTAAGCAGGCTATGAAGAACATTGGGATTAAGACGCCGCCTTCAGGGATAGGGACGACGCTCGAGGAATGTGTTGAAATTGCTAGTGAGATTGGAGAATTCCCTTTGATCATTAGACCGGCTTTCACATTGGGGGGAACTGGAGGAGGGATTGCTTACAATAAGGAGGAATTTGAGTCTATTTGTAAGGCAGGTCTAGCCGCAAGCTTGACTTCGCAGGTTCTGGTGGAGAAATCTTTGCTGGGTTGGAAGGAGTATGAGCTTGAGGTCATGAGGGATCTTGCTGACAACGTGGTGATCATATGCTCCATTGAGAATATTGATCCTATGGGGGTTCATACTGGGGATTCCATAACCGTGGCGCCAGCTCAAACTTTGACTGATAAGGAGTATCAGCGGCTGAGAGATTATTCCATTGCTATCATCAGAGAAATTGGAGTTGAGTGTGGGGGTTCGAACGTGCAATTTGCTGTTAATCCAGCTGACGGTGAGGTGATGGTGATTGAAATGAACCCGAGAGTTTCAAGGTCGTCTGCTTTGGCCTCCAAGGCCACTGGTTTTCCAATAGCGAAGATGGCTGCAAAATTGTCGGTTGGTTATTCGTTGGATCAGATTCCGAATGACATAACAAAGAAAACACCTGCTAGTTTTGAGCCTTCAATTGATTACGTGGTGACAAAGGCAAGTTTTTATAACTTTGAGGTTTCTTGTTATCTTTTGAGTGGCTTTGAAATTGAAGGTACTGGGATATTGGTCTGTAGTTTGAATAATATGACAGAACATACAATACCGAAAATTTTAGCATGGTTATAACTTTGAATTTTTTCTGAAATTTAATGGTTCTCCAAAGTCCAAAGTCCAAAGTCCAAACTCTCGCATGGTCTTGAAATTTGATTAGTTGACCTGTTTCTTTCCAAAAACAACTGAGAGTAACGGAGTTCATGTATTTACCGTACATTCAACGACAAAGATCTCCCCTTTGAACGGCTATTAGATATAATCGTCTTTATAGTCATTTCTTGGTGCAAAAGTTCTCCTTTATTTCACTACTATAGCCACACTTCCCTAGTCTACAATCGAGAGTGCTACATGTAATCCCCTCGGGCCCTTTTGTGATTTCATATCATCAATGAAATTGTTTCTCTCACTAAAAAAACCAACCTCACTTAGTTCTTTGGTGATGAAAATATTCCTAAGTAAGTTGTATGGTCCTATAAATCTAATGTCTTGTTGGAGATTTTGGTCATGCATATTCATCCTTGTCTTTGCTAACCAATTTCCTTCAGATGTTTTATCTTGCATTTTAAGGCTAACAGCTTTGTGATCCATAGATGGTTTTCCGTCCTAGTTGTGGTTTTTATTCATTTAAGAAAGATTTGATGTAATTTTTATGATTATTAAAGCCTTCCTGTATCTTTCTGTTTGCTTACTTGATGACGGTTGATGATTTATTCATCTTTTGATTTTCATTACTTGGCCCCTACTTTCTCCCTACACCAATACTCTCCACATGTTTACCTCTCTTTCTTCCTTATAAGTTGTTTCTGATCGTTTTCTTGCAGATTCCCAGATTTGCTTTCGAAAAGTTTCCAGGTTCTCAACCAATATTGACAACTCAGATGAAATCAGTTGGCGAAGCTATGGCTCTTGGCCGCACTTTCCAAGAATCCTTCCAAAAGGCTGTAAGATCATTGGAATATGGCTACTCTGGATGGGGTTGTGAACCCATTAAGCAACTGGATTGGGATTGGGAACAACTGAAGTACAGCCTTCGAGTTCCTAGCCCAGATCGTATTCATGCAGTATATGCTGCAATGAAGAAGGGTATGAAAGTGGATGATATTCATGAGCTGAGTTACATTGATAAGTGGTTCCTTACTCAATTAAAGGAGTTGGTGGATGTGGAGCAATACCTCTTGGCTCAAAGCTTGTCTAATCTAACAAAGGAAGATTTCTTTGAAGTGAAGAGGAGAGGTTTCAGTGATAAGCAGATAGCATTTGCCACTAAATCAACTCAGAAGGAGGTGCGATCAAGACGAATATCTTTGGGTGTCCTCCCATCTTATAAGCGTGTGGATACGTGTGCTGCAGAATTTGAGGCGAATACTCCTTATATGTATTCTTCTTATGATTTTGAGTGTGAATCAGCCCCAACTCAAAAGAAAAAGGTCTTGATATTGGGTGGCGGTCCGAACCGTATTGGTCAGGGTATTGAATTTGATTACTGTTGCTGCCACACTTCATTTGCCCTACAGGTTTGTGTTTCATATTTAAATAATATAAACATGCCCATGAATTTACTTGGACAGTTATGAAGCTTACCTTATTGCAACATTTTTCATTATAACCTCTTATTAACCATATTGACTGGTCATTAGTAATATAATGTGATCAGATCGGCTTGATTCTGTTTCATACTTATGTGTACAATGGATGGTTATTCTTATTCTTGGCTTGTGCCTTTAAATGTTCGTTTAACTTGTTTCCGCAGGATGTGGGGTACGAAACAATCATGATGAACTCGAATCCTGAAACAGTATCAACGGATTATGATACAAGTGATCGGTTGTACTTTGAACCCTTGACAGTTGAAGATGTTTTTAACATTATAGATTTGGAACGTCCGGATGGAATCATCGTGCAATTTGGAGGTCAAACACCATTGAAATTGGCCCTCCCCATACAGCAGTATTTAGATGAGAAGAAGCTTAAATGTGCCAGTGGTGATGGATATGTTCGAATTTGGGGTACATCTCCAGATTCTATAGATGCGGCCGAAGACAGAGAAAGGTTCAATGCAATCCTTAAGGAGTTAAAGATAGAACAACCAAGAGGGGGCATTGCCAAGAGTGATGCAGATGCTCTCTCCATTGCGAAGGATATAGGATACCCGGTTGTTGTTCGGCCTTCCTACGTTTTAGGCGGTCGGGCAATGGAAATTGTGTACGGTGATGACAAACTAGTAACTTACCTTGAGACTGCTGTGGAAGTGGATCCAGAACGTCCTGTATTAGTTGACAAATATTTATCTGATGCTATTGAAATCGATGTTGATGCATTAGCTGACTCCCATGGGAATGTGACAATTGGCGGGATTATGGAGCATATTGAGCTGGCTGGTGTCCATTCTGGTGACTCTGCTTGTTCACTCCCAACGAAAACAATTCCATCATCGTGTCTCGACACAATCAGGAACTGGACTACAAAATTGGCAAAGAGGCTAAATGTCTGTGGGCTTATGAACTGTCAGTATGCAATCACACTGGCAGGGGAGGTTTTCTTACTTGAGGCAAACCCTCGTGCTTCTCGTACCGTTCCATTCGTATCTAAAGCCATCGGGCACCCATTGGCTAAGTATGCTTCCCTTGTTATGTCTGGGAAGTCTCTAAACGAGCTAGGCTTCACTAAAGAGGTGATCCCGAAACACGTGTCGGTGAAGGAAGCTGTTCTTCCGTTCGAGAAGTTCCAAGGCAGTGACGTGCTACTGGGGCCTGAGATGAGAAGCACTGGTGAGGTTATGGGTCTTGATTTCGAGTTTCCCATTGCATTTGCAAAAGCTCAAATTGCAGCTGGGAACAAGTTACCACTTTCTGGTAGCCTGTTCCTCAGCTTAAATGACTTGACAAAGCCCCATCTTCCCAAAATAGCCAAGGCATTTTTAGAGCTTGGATTCAACATTGTTGCGACTTCTGGAACTGCCCATGTTCTCGAATTGGAAGGCCTTCCCGTCGAGCGAGTGCTGAAGCTGCACGAGGGGCGGCCTCATGCTGGCGACATACTTGCCAATGGGCAGATTCAGTTGATGGTGATCACTAGTTCTGGTGATGATCTTGATCAGATCGATGGACGACATTTGAGGAGGATGGCCCTTGCATATAAAGTTCCGATAATAACGACGGTTGCTGGAGCATTGGCAACTGCAGAAGCTATAAAGAGCCTGAAGGCCAGTGGTGTTTCGATGGTTCCACTTCAGGACTACTTTGTCGAGACGAAAAGCGGTAGTCGAAAGGACTTGCAGTCAGCTTCTATATGATTCTGCTGTACATACATTTATTGTAAGTGTTTATACTTTACATTTTCCACAGTGTTATTCAACCCTTCACCAACTGACTCATTTAATTCCGCCTTTCGGTTTGTCCCAGATTCTCAAACTTCGTCGACAAGCTCGCGGTGACAAATTTTAAGAGCGAAGCAATGGCTGTCTGGTTTGGATTCTAAATTGTAAAATATAAGTAACTTTTTTGTAATTGTACAACTGTTTCATGTTGTTGGTATCTTCCCACTCCACAGCAATGGAGAAATATCTTTCAACTGATGGATCTAAATCTGTTTCCTCCTTGATTGTGAAGCAGCTTCCATTTATGAATGCTTGGAGAAACATTTTCTAATAAAGTTGAGAGAGCTAAGGTAAGAAGTTCACAGATTATCTTTCAATGCAGTTATTTTCAATTATCATACCATGTTTTTCCCCCATTCCGTTGCTCGAATTTTCACGGAGAATTCGCTTTGTTTTTCCGGGATCGAAAATATTGTTACTCATCCTTGGAATCAGCCTCCTTTTCTTCCAAATGAATTTGCTTCTTTTTTTCATAAGATATTCTCATTCCACTCTACCAAACCTCCTCATAAATCATAATCTGCTTATCCTACAGATTCAAATGTTTCCTTTCCTCCACTGCCTCTAAAAAGATTATCCGTCCTTAATTGTTCAAGTTTTAGGACAGGTTTTGATTAGGTTTTCGCGTCCTGTTTTTGTTTTTTTTTTAATATAGAAAAATATAATAGTATGCCCTCAACCTCAAGAATGATATAGCAAAATATTTATTTATATTTGAACAAATTAGAAACAGGAACAATAATCAAGAATTTTTTTTTTTTTTTCAAAATTTCTACTTTGAGAATGTTTAGTTGTCCAATTCTTATATTTCTAATAAATTTGGAAACGAAACATATGTTACAAACAATTTCATCTCCTTTTGGGTGGTTGACATATTGATTCACCAAAATAGATTCTTTGGTTCTTTAGACAAATGCTCTTAATGTATCTTAGCGCAATATTGTGCATGGGTTTAACATATGCTCGTTTAGGAAGATTCTTCAAATGCATGTCTATGGTTCGTGTTTAACTCAAGATTACACGAGTATAATCTCTATCGATTTGAATGTAGTTTAGGTGGTCAAGACATCTATTATAAGTAATATGAATTTCTATTAATAAGTTATTTGTTATTTATAGGCTATAGGCATGGCAATATTTCTATTTCTACATGTCATAGGTTGAATATTAACATTTTCATAAGTATTAATGATATTCTTTTATTTTCCATTATGAAATATATAAAATAAATATCATTGGCATTATATTAATAATAAGAATTTCAATTCAATTCAAAGAGAGTCAAATATTTGTTCATTTAAATAATGTTTATGAATTTCTTAATTTTTTCATAAATATCCAACAACTTGACATTTTATATCCACAAATCGTAACAAAAATTGCACTCCATCGTGATAGAGAGATATTTTTTAGTTAACCTTATTTCTATAAATATCAACATCTAAAAATATCTACATTTAAAACATTGTAGTCCACACACATGAAGGAAAAAAAGAGAGAAAAAAAAAAACCTTATTCCCAATTTGCTAGGGAGGTGGATTATTATTTTTCTTAAACAAAAAGCACCATTGATTATGATTATGGCCTACTTCTCAATCATGCCCTAATAAACAATTCATGAATAATTCCCTCGAGCAATTAATCACACGCCCCTATAATCTCTCCATAACACATCACAGCGAAAAACTAACCTGTTTAGTGTTTTCAAAGTTGACCTCCTCGATTTGCAAAAAATGGGCAGAAGACGATCGCCGGTTCGCCTTGATCGAAGATCTTCCGGAGGAGGAATCGATTCGGCGAAATTTGCGCGAACTTAGGGCTTTTGTCTTTGGAATTCAGGGAGTTTGAGGACGGCGATTGCTCATATAATTACCGGAGTTATCGGCGCCGGCGTGCTGTCTCTGCCGTGGAGCGTGGCTCAGCTGGGGTGGATCGCCGGACCGGTGCTGTTGGCGCGGTGACTTTGGTATCGGCGTTTCTACTGAGAAACCGGATCCTGATTTTGGGGATTTGAGAATCGAATCGTATCCTCAGGCTGTGAAATTGTATTTGGTAGGGGGGAAGGAACCGAACCGAAAAACCGACTCGGACCGATTTGGTTCGGTTCGGTTCGGTTTAAATTATATATCCGTACAGACCAGACCGAACCGAACTTTAGTTGCTTTTAAACCCTAGTCTTCGTTTTGTAACATATTAGATTAGCGCGCCTCTGTCCCTCAACCCTTCATTTCAGCGTGCCAGATTCCAATTTCTAACGCTTCATTGCTTTTGCTTCGAATTTGTTTATTTTGATGTTGCATTTACTTTGGATGTTTATTTAATGAGATTTGATGACGTTGATGTGCATTTTCTTGAGGAAACGTAGAATACTAATGGTTTTATTTTTAGTTTGAGTTTATGATTCCATCGTTGAGGCGCATTTTTTGAGTTTAATGAGTTAATGATTATGTTCTTAGTTTTTTGGTTGAGTTTCTTGAACATTTTTGTTTTTTTCTTAGGAGGTCTAATTTTATCTTATTAATTCACAGACTTCATCTGAGTTTTCTAAAACAAGTCATTTTAGTCAAAGTGTTCCATTAGTTGAACTTGACGACTCTAAATTAGTAACAGTTGCATCTAATCCAATCTCTCGTTGCATTGTCCTTCCAATTTGATTAGATGCAATTGTTACTAAAGAGATAACAAAGTAAAATACCGTCTAGTGGATCTGGTGGAATTGGAATTTATAAGGTACGTGCTGCAGTTCGGTTTTCATCTTTTCTGAACCGAATCGAGTTCGATTTTTCCATCCCTACCCGAAAATCGAACCGAACCGAAAAATTTTCACCCCTACCTAGTAAGTTGTATTGATTAAAAAAATATATTAAAAATGATCAGAGTTTATATTTTTCCAAATGCTACGTTGATAATGTATATCAAATTTATGTAACTTAGTGTGACTATTAATTTTAATGAAATGATATAGACAATAATACAATTATAACAAATATAGGACGGAACTCAAACTAAAAAAAGAAAAAAAAAAGGATAGGGTTGTATAAAAAATCCAGTAATCCGAAGAAACCGAGCAACCTAACCCTATACTGGGTTTAGGTTGGATTGAGATTTTCAAGAACCAATTGGTTATGGTTCTCGAATTCAAGAAACAGAAACTCAATTTAATTGGAACCAAATCAAACCATAATATATACCTACATAACTTTTATAATTTAGAGTTTTAGTCCTTTAGATCTGCCGCTTGCCTCCCTCTTATCTTGTCTCTCTCAGGCTCTCCTCCTCTCATCTCTCTCCACGCTCTTCTCTCATGCTCTCATTCTCGTCTCTCTCACGATCTTGCCTGCTATTTGCTCGTCATCAGTATCTCATATCTTTGCCTCATTCAACGACATGAATTAGATATTTGTTTCATAAAAGCTTAACTACCGTGTGTATTTTGGTCTAAAGTAGGACTGATTTCTGGAATTGATTGATTCTAGGAGAATTTGAAACTTATAAATCGTGAACAATTTGAACTGCACTATCACCCAGCTAAAAAAATATAAGAGTTGGATTGTCCAGTGTATTCGGTTCTTGGTTGATCCAAAAAAAATTCTAACCCAATGATAACAGATTTTTATAAATTATTACTTTTTAAATATTGAAAAAATAAGTTTTCCGATAACAATTTAAGAGCACGTGAGACGTCATAGCACAATTTCCCGCCAGTTCCTCTTTTAACATTGATATTTAGAAAAATAAAAGCGCCAAAATCCCTAATTCAGAAGTTTGTTCTGGCAGTTCCTCTCCTCTTCTTCTCTGCCAAACAAAACAGGAGTTCAATTATCAGCCGATGCTCAGAAGTTTTTGATAGGTACTGTAACTTGCAATCTATAACTGTTACTTCTCTTTCTCCAATTCTGTATTCTCTGGATTTCTTTCGCGATCGAACTTATATCCATTTGCGTAATTTATTTCGAGCAGGTTTTGATCTCTGTGTGTCCGCGTGGTAATAAGGTTCTGGAACAAAAATCTTCTGTCGGAGAGGTGAAATTTGAATATGTATGGAAGAAAAGCATGCCAGTTGGTGAAAGAGCTAGCAAACGGCGAGAAAGGTCAGCTAACGCACTTCAATGTAAGTCCACATGCTTGTTTTTGTATATGTTTATTGTTTACCTACTGAGGTTGTATTGTATTGGATATCGAGTTTTGTCCTTGCAATTTCGTTTCCATCTTGAAGATTGCATCTATTTGCATTATTAGGAGATCTAGAAGGGCTAATTTTATAGTTGATGAAATGTTTTGCACTTGGTTCTTTCGGATGATTTAGTCACTCGACAAATCGTTTACTTTGATAAATAAGCCTAAATTTTCAAATTCATTTCACAGAATGTATTTTGCTTGTTTTTTTTTTCACCACTTCCAGGTTTGTGTGAAGTGATTATTTTACACTTGGAACAAATTGATCAAACAGTAGAGGCGTGCATTGTCGACTTTTTAATATAAAAAATATACACTCTTATAAACTAGCTTGTTTTTTATTGGATGCTTAAGCACTTTCAGTAAGTAGATGTCTTGAAAAGAAATTATGGTGGCTTAAATCACATTGTTCAATGTCTCGGTGTCCAGCTTTTTAACTGTTTTCTATAGTAAATTCAGATTACATCTAATATTTTGAAATTTTTTGTTTTTTCCCTGTGTTTCTTCAGAGCGACCTATTTGATCAGGTTATTTCAGAATGCGAGCAGCATCATCTTGAGCTTCAGTCCTTGATGAGGTTATAATGTTCTACCTTTTTATTAACATATTTCATTCCTTGATATGATATTTAGTTTTAAGTGAAAACTGATCTGTTTCCGGATGGTTATTAGTCTGTTTGGTATGAAAAGAAGGTAGTCAAATTGCTTCTAAGAGCATGCTCATTTGGTTTTTAATAGTTCATCAATCTTGAGAAATGACAGAGGTTCATATTTTCATGAGAGTAGTGGTTTTATCACGGTTAATGTTGATGGTCTCGTATGGGGGCCACCTAGTGAATACTATCGACTGACATTTCTTTTATCCAATTTCCGTCCAATCTGCCCTCCATTCCATTATATGGTATGAAAGACTTTAAGAGCAGAAGTCAACTCAAGGCTCCATTTATTGACAGTAGCACTTGGGACCTTCTTTATCCTAGGAACTATCCCAGTAAGTTCACTGCAGTCATGAACTTACTACTGTATATTCTTGACTCATTGCATTGTCACTCCCAGATTGAACTGTCACATGTAGAAAGGAATGTACTCATGGATGACACAAGACATTTGCTATCTCTTTAGTAACAGTTGCATCTAATCAAATTGGAAGGTTAACCCAAAGGCTACCTCTTGTTATGCCACGTAAAACAAATAACCAAATGCTGAAAGCTTACCAGTCATGTAATCACTGGCTCTGGTTGTAAGAGCGCCTAAACCAATGAATTCTAAAACCAGCAATTCTCCATTCTAATAACTCTTGAATTTATGTAAGTGAGCAAAGAGAAATAGTGGCACTTGTATGCGTTTAAGTACTTGTCTAGAACCATTGGCTATCTAAATTAAAAGACAGTATTTCAGGATGACTCATTGTAGTTGATATGATGATCTGGAACAGGAAAATACAGGAAGAAGGGTTGGATCTACAGACTACTAAGAATGAAGATCACTTTGGTGCGCTCATTCACCACCTTTCACTAGTTCGCAATAAACGATGCCTTATGGCTTATGTGTAAGTCTAATATTGTGACATTGGCTTTTATCCGGTTTTCTGGGTTCGAGATAATTATATTTGCCAATTAAATGTCTTTATATATAAACAAGCAGGTATAATCGAGCTGAGATTATAAGAAGTTTGATATGGAAGGTAGGATCTATGCTTCCACCAGAAATACAAGAGAAGCTTAGCAACTCAGAGGAAGAGTATTTTAAGAAGCATTCTGCACGTCTAAAAGTATACATGTCGAGACTGGAGTTGGAATTGACTGTGGTAATCTCTGACACCATTTTTATATATAATCTTTTCCTTCTAAAAATTTAGGGAGCAAATTAAAGAGAAATCTTTTAACTTTTAGTGTAATTTTCTTTAAAAGAATTAAGGCGAATGAAGGTGTAATTTACCCTCCTTCATTCTTGGCTTTTTGCCCGTTCCAGGGAGACTGCGAGTTTGATTCTTTCACTCCTTTTCTATATATAATAAGAATAGATGATTTAAAGCACTTGGTGGAAAATCATAAACCAATTTGAAACCATAACGCTTTAAGAACTCAAATTCCTGGAACTGAAATTTCCAAGTTTATCACTGGCAGGATATGGTGCCACCCAAGGATCCATATATCCAAGTGAGGGTACTCGATGATATCGGTGAAGGAATCATACTCAGTGATGATAAAACAGCAAACTTTGCACGTCATTCTATACATTTTCTTAAACGAACTGATGCTGAGCAATTCATTTCACGGGTGAGAATCCCTCCACTCCAAATTTCGTTTCGCAATTCTTATTATTGCTTGCTTTAATGTCTTCTAATCTACTCCTATTCTCTGAATAACAGGGGTTAATGGAGGAACTCAGAGGATGACTTAAATATTCAAGATGGTGTTTCTGTAAATTATTATATCCAAGGATAGATGTTTGTTCAATAACTTATATATAGTGGTTTCATTTTGAAACGAGTCGAACTTGGATCTTCTCTCGATGCTTTCCCGATGGTTGCATATGGTTAACAAAAACAGAATATATTATAGAAAAGGTTCATGATGGAGATCCTATATAGCACAAGTGTTAGGTCTATATTTAAAGGATAAAAGGTGTGTTGATACTGAAATCTAATCTATTGACGTGTCCAACTGAGTAGAAAATTGAGTAGAAAATTTACTTGCAAGAACAGATCTCGACACTGGTGAGGTGACCTACTAATTGTCTTTGGATGCTCAAATCATTTGTTGCACGAGCAAAATATAGAAAATATGACACCCTCCATCGTTTGTAAGATCGTGCTCCTACTGCCTGCTAGTGTGTTCCCTATATATATATTTTCAAAATTTTAAGTCGAATTTTAAAAATTGAAGTATTGTCTGTACGTTTATAGATTTTTAGATTTTAAAAATTATGCTTTGTAGACCAACGTATTTGAATTTTTAGTCTTCTAAGAAAAAATAAACAAAAATAAATTTTTGAAAACTATTTTTTTAATAATCTGGCCTAAGTTTTAAAATGTTCATAAAAGTTGTATAACAAAATAAAGAACATTGTTTTTTAACTCTTTTAATAAATGAACATTTTTTTAATAATTTGGCCTAAATTAAATCTTTTTTGAACTCTTTCAAACGTTTCTTTTTATTTCCAAATATATATACACCAAAATTTTTTAAAGAATATTGTTCATAAAAATACGGATGTCAAAAATATCAATAAAAATATTAATAAATGTATATGTTGATGAATATTTCTAAAAAAAATTAGAATAAATATTTAAAATATGAAATAAACATTTCACCATTTTTAAGTAAGTTAAATTTTATTAATTTTAATATTATTGATATTTTGTTGATATTTTTTATATTTTGTCAACTTTTTTGCGATATCATAGAAATATTGAATTTATCGAACGAACTGCACTCCTTCGTAAGCGGTATACATCCCTCATATCAATGATGTGTAGATATATGTAAATGTTATGTTGACATAAAATTTAATATTCGGTACACTTATTTTTTACTTAAAATGTATTAAATAAAAAATTCTTTAGGATATGATATCATAAATTAATTGTGAATGGATGAGCTTAATGAAGAGTTGTGCCCACCCTAGTTTGCCCTTCAATTCTTGTATGGTCTTTATTCTTTATTTTGTTTTATTTTATGTTTTCTTTGAAATTAATATTCCATGTGACTCTTAAATAGGGGCACATGTAAGCTCATTTTAATGTTAAATTCCAACAATAAATCACTCAATATATCAAGTCATAAATTTGTAAATTCAACTACAAGATATTTAATCTAGCCACAAAATTAAGTAGGTAAAAAGATGATGACAACTTTATAAAAAAAAAAAAGTAAATTTTGTATAGTGTCACATGGTGATACGTGACACTATACAAAATTTACGATTTTAACGATGAAATAGATTCGTCGCATAAAATGCAACGAAAATAACGTATGTCGCATAGATAAAATGACGAAATAATAATGCGACGAAATAATTGTACGTCACACTTATAAGCAACGAAATTTTATGCGACGAAATAATTGTGTGTCGTATTTTAAGTCGAAACTTAATTTTGCGACATAATATATGCGAAAGTTACTTTTGTTTAATTTAACTACAAAAATAATTACTCAAAAATTGTCTCAACTACACAAATTTGTTCCAAATCTTTAAGAAAAAATGTTGAAGAGTTCTAATTTCACTTTTTTTTTTTTAATATAATTCTAATCTCACTTTTAAAATTTTGAGTTCTATTATATGACATTAAAATTTTAATTTTAGAAACTACTGGATAAGCCTCATGAGACTTTAGAGACTCAAGGCCTACTGTCTACCTTCATTTTTTTTTTCCTTTTACCTTTTGAGTTCAACAATACATTGGGATGATTCCAACCTCCCTCCTTTAATAATAATATCTCATTTTAACTTGTTGAATTATGTCCAAATTGATTTACTTTTTTAATCCTCCATCTTTTAATAAATAATATCCATTTTAACTAGTTGAATTATGTCTAAATTGATTTATTTTTTTTAATTTATATATACATTTTTTTACATGATAAGTGAAATGTATTTCTTTTACCAGCTGCTTTACCATTATAGCTTCAACTGAGTAACTTCTTCTTTCATTATTGTTTTTAATATTTAAATATTGTTTTGATATTAAAATTTGCCTCACTCATATTTAAATGGTAATAATAAGAAAATTGGAAATTTTATTTATTATTTTTTAGAATAATTGGAAATTTTATTTTAACAATTAAACTAAAGCTTAAAAAAGTGGCATTAATTATATGTATTTTCAAACCCTTCCAAATTCTACAAAAATTAAACATGGAACAAGTTAACAACTAGCATCTTTGTAATATATATATATATATATTGAAAGTGGGCCTTTGTAATATAATTATTAATTTGTTTATCCCATTGATATTAATTAGTTTGTTAGAAATTAGGCTGGCAAGTAGTTAGTTTGTTGTGCATGACAGCTATTATATTTTCACATCCATTTTTCAAACTCTATTTGGAGAAGCAAACATTTTTCGTTTTTATTGGCTATTTTACATTGATAGCATATTTCAAATATAGCACAAAATTTATATATATATATATATATATATTTTTTTTGTTTAAAAATTAAATGCATGTATTTAACTGCTTAAATTGCAAGAATATCTATTACTTTAAAATAACTTTTTGGATATTCATCTTTGTTTCTTCCATTTTTTTAGTACTTCAAAATTTTAATTTAAAGCAATCTAATTTTTAAATATTTCTTCAAAATGCAAATTTTTTTGTCCGAAAATATTGTTTTAGAGGCTAATACTTCTACTAGTGGATGTAGATCCTTCCTAAAATAGAACAATAATTATAAACCATGCATTAATGAGTAGGAGTGGCAAAATGTTACAAACTTCTAACAAATTAAATATACTATTTATAACTTTTTCCAATCCAAATTTGGTTGGACAAGAAATTGCCCAAAGTTTTGCTTGGTGAACAAATACTTCTCAATTGAGAGATGTTTGGTTCAAGGTTAGAGAGGTTGATTCGAAGATGGATTTGTGAATGAGAAATAAAAGTTTCCTATAGAGGGGTTCCATCTCAAAACCAATTAACTATGAGAGGAGTAACCCAGTTTTTTGAGCTTTTGGGCTCTGATACCATATCAATATTTACGGGGTTCCATCTCAAAACCAATTGGCTATGAGAGGAGTAGCCCATGTCTATTATAAACTCATGTAAGGTCCCTTCTTTTATCAATGTGGGATCCTTAACACTATATTCATAGGAATCAATGGGAGGATGGCAAGGACGAGTCCTTGAAGAACTGATCCAGGCCGAACTCTTCCGTCGGGGATTGTCTCGTTTGGATTTCGATTTCTGCAACGGAATCGAACAAAACATCTAAAAGTCCAAGGACGAAAGAAAAATGTTTCACGGGGAACTCGTTTCATGTCGGCGTGTTCGTGCTGGTTAGACGTCAGCCATGAGGGATATGGAAAGTATGAAGTTATAGTTATCGATACCATATTAAATCAAAAGCAAAGGGGAAGAAAGTCCAATCTCTAAAATAGAGCTTAGTCTCTCCATAGTAGTATACTAACAGAAGAGAAGACGTAGGTTATGACTTAGATCCAATTAATAGAGTTAATGGCTTAAGCCGTTGTTCCAATAAGTTAGGTTATTACAAACTTAGAGTTTTTGTAAACTCGAATTTATAATTTGTAAAAGTTATATGTAATATAAAATATATGTTTCGTAAGTCTTTATATAAACTACTCATAGGTAGATAAATTTCATAGCTTAAGATAAAGCAAATTCGTATATCAAATATAAATTCAAATTTGGCACAATTTGACCCATAAACTAAATCGTTTCGTTCTATTTTTACAAGGTTTTGTGTGGAACTTTTTTCTGCCTGTAAAATTATATTATGTTACGTCAACCACTAGGTATTTTGATTTTATATTATTTTCTTCCATCAAAGTCATTACCTTGGCATACCCATATATTTTTCTACAAATGTACCTAAATTTAATGTTTGATGGTCACAAATTAAATTATAAGGAAAATTAAAAACTATGGACAAAGTCACAACTATATAGAGAATCACACAATATAATTATAAACTCTTCAGAAAATATAACCCTAGTTGATTATATAAGTTGGAATAGATTACCCTTCACCTATCAATACGATGGATCTCAAAATATATATATATATATTTATTTATATATGAAAATAAATAATAAAGAAAATTACTTCTTTCTCAAACGTATAGTGCCTCCTATCACTTACTTCGAGTTCATATTTTAAATGGCCAAATCTCAATTATATTAAAATATAACTGAAAATTAATTATAAAAATAAAAAAAAAATCATTATAAATATTAAAATAACGAATAAGCATTCCATTCTTTAAACCAATTTTAATTATTAATATTATATTATGTTCATATTTAATGATATTTTGTTGATATTTTTTATATTTTATCAATTATTTTTTTCAATATTATGACACTCTTTATCAATGCTGAACTCATGGATATATGAAAATGTTGTACTTTTAGTATCCTTCCTCTCTCTCTTTTTCTATCTCAATGTCTATCTTGAATTGCGAGTTGATTACACCATTTTCTCCCTCTTTTCTTCTAATTTTTCCTCACCATTTTCTCCCTCTTTTCTTCTAATTTTTCCTTACAATACTTCACGCCAGATTACTTTTTTCTTTGAATTTAAAAATAAAATGCATTATATGATTTATTAGGATAACTTATCAGTAACATAATCTCTTATTGACTATCATTAAATTTTTTTTTTTAATACTGTGCAAATGTTGATTCATCCTTTGTCGATGTCAAACTCATGAACATATAAAAGTATGGATATATCGATGGAAATTTAATTCCCTACTATTATATTATCCTTCTCCTCTTTCTTTTTCTATCTCAATGTGTAT